GGGATGAAGCTAAGGAGACTCCATCTACTAAAAGCAGGCACGGGGGATCACACTTCCTCTTTCTGCCCAGGGGAGTATCATGGACATGACCGATATGATGACGACACTAGAATGGATGAGCCCCAAATTTGAGGACCCCTTTTTCTTTTTTTTACATTTTGAGGCTCTGGGGGATGGGTTAAGACACAAAATCAGTACTTTAAGTTTTGTAGAACCTTAAGATACCCCTTTTGCCTGTAAAAACCACTCCAAACAAGAAAAAAAAAAAAGGCTTGATTTGGGGGAAGGATTTGAGGGTCACAAGGCCCCTCAAATAAGAAAAAGTCTGCCTATCCTGCAGGGGATGGTGCATGTGACACTCCGAATTAAAGGACTGTCTTGTCTCTGAAGCCAGTGGAAAGTGTAAATCCACAGCTGGGCAACCTTTACCACTGAGAAAGAAAAACTGTATTTTTTTTTTAAATTTTAAAAGATAAACTAGAAATAGTGAAAATGCAAAGCAATGCTCTGATGACTACTGAGTTGCAATAGTTATGTTTAGGGTATGTCCTAAAAATCAATGGGATTTCAGTTAGTCATGACTAACCCAAGCCACACTGATTTCATTCAAACTGCAGTAAGCATGACTTAGCCCAGAACTATCTTCAAGAGAGCAAACGGGGTGTAGCGTACTATATTCAGAAAAATACTGAACAAAGATAGAAAACAGTGGTGGATTCATTACCCATTAACTGACTCCACAAACAAATTATGGAAGCCAGCCTGATTCAAGTTTCAGCATCTACTGCATGGAGAGGTTCCCTTATTCAATGATTTCAGTAACGCCTTTTTGCATGAAGAGGCTCTCAGGAGAATGAACGGTCAACACAAGGATATGGCAAACATCTGCTGACTAAGTGCTGAAATCCTCTTCTCCTGGGTCTCACCGGGGGTATCATGGCAGTTTAGTAGCATCCCAGGACCCCCAGATTTCCTTGAGGCACACTCCCCTATAAGGGTGCTTAGTTAGGATTCTACCCAAAGGGTCACGCTTCACTTCTCCAGAGGAAGGAAAAATGGCACATCAAGTGAGCAAGCAAAATAAAGACTTGCTGTCACGTGGCTGTTGGGATGGCAGCTGCTGAGAGTTGTACGTGCTCCGTGACAAGTGCACGGATTAGAACTCTAATCCAGCCAAAGAACAGAAGTTAAAGGCTTCTCCAGCTCAGTCTAAATACCTTGCTCAGGTTAAATACATGACTGAGGCTCACCTGTTATGGAGGAGTTAGGTAAGATGGAAAAGGAACAAACATGCTGGGAAGGATTTTCCGATGGCCTAGGAAGCAGCGTTCTCTGGAAGAAGAAATCAAGGTAACGTTTCAAGAAAATTAAAGATCCCGAGCAGTATTTGGGTTGTATCTCCCTGGTCCACGCTCAACAAATTAATCATCATATAGACAATCTCTAAACATGTTCTCCATAACAACACATTGATGAACGCCTGGGACTCTTGCTAATATTTTATCACATTCAGCTAAATTAAGGGTTGGGGAAGTTTGATTTGATATTGAGAGCTATATTCTGTTGGGGTTTATCTATTGAGGGCCATGTGCTGGCAACAGGCAGGAACTAAAACCTGTGCAAAGTCACCCTTTCTCTTATTCCCTCTCCCCCCAGGAAGGACAAATTATCTGGCCAAAAACTGTCCATCTCTTTAACGGATGGTGGTAAGAACCAAATATCACTTTTACGATACAATGTAAGAATCAAGTTTCTGCATCTTAAAAGAATTCTAAAATGTGTATTCAAGTCTGATCCATTCCACATTACAAAGAGATGCATCTTTGCCTGGTTTTTCATAGCCCAGCTGAAATGCCTATGGAATCTGTTTCTCACTCATGCTGACAGGCCTTGTTAACTGTCTCTGCTTGCTCAAGAGAAAGCAGAGAACAACCTAGCAGGAGGAACCAATTAACTCTGTCCAAATGGATGGGGAGAAAAGCAAGTAACAATAACCCAAAAATCAGCCAAATGAATCCATTTGTCAATCAAGCGAAGAATGTATTTTAATTAGCTGTTCTCTTACCTGTACAACTAGTGGCTTCCGCAGATGTCTGCTGCGTAGTTTTCTTGGCTTTGGCAAGAAGAAATCAGATTGCATCTGAAGAGAAATAGTACTTTCTGATACACCATTCTGATAATCTAAGAAGACCATTAATGCTTTGCCTGTTGCCTGAAAGGAACTTCCAGCAGCTCTGGGCCAGCTAAGGTGCCCCATATTGATGTAGTGTCTCCTGTGGCAGAGACCCCATGGCTCTACTTATCTGGAACGAGGGAACACGAAAGGTGTCCAGCTAATCTGGTAACAGGAAGAACAGGGTAACTATTCTGCTGCAAAAAAAAAACAGAACCAGAAATTGGGAACGGATGGCAGGCTCTTCCCACCTAAAAGCAGGAAGTTGATCCATGGTTGTATGGTTCTGCCTGGAAAGTGAGAATATTATTTGATGACAGAGAAAACAGGAAAGTAACAGTAGAGAAAAAAGCAGGCAATTTGATTCCCTACTGGCTGGAGCTCTGCAGTCTTTCCCAACACTGTGTAACCTGAGATTTCTCTTCTCATTACCAACAAAACAGCTTTGAACCAGAACATATAAGGCATGTAAAATGCCATAAAATCCTATGGTGTGACCAAGATTGAGATTTGGAACCGATACTTGCTTAACTTTGCCAGCTACAGGAATGCTGGATTAGTTTTCTATTAGCGTCGCATTTGCCCATTTTAAAGCCGCAGACACTCACACTGATGGTGTCCAAACGCTGGCGGAAGCTCAGGTCTGCTTCTTTGCTTTGCAAGAAAAGCTTCCCGTGCCTGCTGTTCGGTGGGAGGGTTGTGGGAATGGCAAAGAGGCCACCGTCTGCATCAGGATTGCTGGAACTTGAAGAACTAGCCACCAAGAGGGGTTTAGAAGGATTTCTCAAACCTGACAGGAAACGATAATGACACAAGTGTTGATTTACACAGAATGGCAGTCAGGGATGACTTCCATTAGGAAGAGCCTTGGAAGTAAAAAGACCCCTTCCACAAATCTGTATGGATCTGCAGGAAGCCGTGAGCCACATCCCAAAGAAACAGGGAAATTAATCATGAGTATTTCTGGAAAAATGTCACTATTGATCAAGTTGTCAAATTCAAGGGGACAGAGCCAATTTTCTCAAACTCAGCCTTTGAACTTGAAAATGGCTCTCGGACAATATTGTCCCATTTAGCAATTAATTCACGAGACCCAAAATCTGGAGACGTCCTAGCTGCAGAATTGGGAGTGGGGCATAGGTGTGGGCACTGTAGGGGGTGGGCAGCTTCTCTGTATGACTCTTACCTGAGGAGCTGGAAGTGGCGCTGGGGGAAAAGGTCTTCTTATGGAGGGCAGGCTGATTGCGAGCACAGCCTGGACTCCTGGTGCTAACGGCAATCACCTTTCCAGGGGGGGTCAGAGCGTGCTCCTCTTGAATGGGCTTGATAGGGGATGTTGCAACGGAATTCATTTCGGGGATCTAAAAAGGAAGCAGTTTACTCTCCATTGCAGTATGCTTCAAATCAGCATCGTCATCCAATGTGAAATAGCAGATATTCCAAAGAATGTTCAGAACTACCATGGTGGGGTAGCACAGTGGTTAATTCACTGGTTGTCTAGCCCAGGGGTCCAGAAATATTTGCTTTAAGTCAAGTGCTATATCATTTTCAAAAGCTTTTAAAGACTACCATGGAAGCCAGTGATCCTCCTAAGAATTTGGTGTGCCCACCCAAAATTGATCATTATATTTATAGTTATACATTTGTGTGTGTGTGTGTGTGTTTTATTTATATTTCAAATTTGTCACCGCCCATCTCGCTACAGAGCGACTCTGGGCAGTTTACAGTAAAAACAGAATAAATATTATAAAAATTAATTAAAATACACTATAACAAGAAGATTCCCATATAATACTTCCAAAAGGCTGATGTTAATTAAAAGTTAATAAATTCAGGGAGCATCTTCAAGGTGCCAGCTGCCCCCAGGGTTGGTTGTATCTCTTATATTATATATAATAATCAATTTGATTACACACACACACACATGGTGTGCCCACCCAAAATTGATCTCTATCTCTCTATCATAATTTTGGGTTGGATATATATTTTGGATGGATGGAACCTTACAGCCCATAGAGGACAGAGGGAATGGGACAGGAGGGACAGGAGGAAGAGCCGCTGCCAAGGCAACGGTCAGATAAAAGGAACCTGAGTCCAGGGCAGAAATGTGGCATGTGTAAATGCCTCAGACAAGACCCTCCCTAGGTTGAAGAATAATCATCACATTGTGGTAAAATTTAGTTTTTCTCCTTGCCCAATCACTACTCTTCCAAGTGCTGCTACTGACACTTCAGGACTAAGTCTCTTAAAAAAAAACAAAAAACTGGGGAGTCCTATCTAGGTGGTATCCCAACCCTGGATGTGATGGAAACCAAAAGCATGATGAACATGACTGAAAGGAAGAAGGTTGGATTTTCTCTGCTGGCCATGTAAAAAATGAGAGGGGTTAACTTATATGACTTGGTCTTATGTTTTATTGGTATCATTTTGGAACAATATTTTATTTTTTATATATGTACAGTATGGATGTATGTTCTGGAAGGCACTGAAAACCTGGTTATCTTCCCAGGCCTCGGAGTAGGATGGTGGTGAACCCCTTGGTTTGGTCTTCTCTTTTTTCTGGATGCACATCTCTTTGTTTTCTTACTTTATTGTCCTAGCTTATTATAATATAAAGCACACTGAATCATTAGGAGTCAGGCAGTTTTTCAATCTGTGTAAATAAATAAAATAGAGAGAGATTCATGGGAAATCTCTTAAAGTTAATATTAAGATATTAATGCTATGTTGAATTATGTGCCAAAAATGTGGAACTTGACCATTTTTGAGGAACTTTGATTATATCAGTGTGGGAAATTGCTAAGAGAATTATTTTGAGAAATTAGAAAAGTACTATTATTCTGGACATTAAGGACTGTTATGCCTTGTCGTTAATTATGTTCTTCTGTTTTGTATTTTTGTTTATAGTTTGTTCTTGCTTTTTTGTACAGGTAGTCCACATTTAATGACCACAGCTGGGACTGGCAACTCGATTGTTAAACGAAGTGGTTGCTAAGTGAAATTGTAACCGTGCTTATGATCTTACTTCAGCTTTCCTTGCCTTTACAGACCTGAGAAAGTTGTAAATACGAGGACTGGTTACAAGGTTACTTTTTCATCACTGCCGTAACTTGAATGGTTGCCAAATGAGGCAGTCACTAAATAAGGACTACCTGAAGTTTGTCAGGAGGGTTGTATTTTTGTGTATTTTTATTTAACTTGTACAGGTAGACCTTGTTTACCAACTACCTCATTTAGTGACCATTCAAAAAAAATGACACATTTATGGCTGTTGCAGCATCCTGCAGTCACGATAGCCATTTCTGAGCTTCACAACCAGCTTCCAACAAGCAGAACTAATGGAGAATGCGGAAGTGAAATCGCAAGTTGCGGTCAAGTGATGTCTCGCTTAACAACCACGGTGATTTGCTTAATGATGGAAGCGGAAGTGATGTCGTAAGTCCAGCATGGTCATATGATTTCTCACTTAGCTACCACAGCGCTTAGCAACAGAGTTGCAGGTCTCAGTTGTGGTCAGTGTGAGGACTACCTGTAACTAAAAAAGAGTGAAAATTCTCCCCATTTTGTCTTCTCCCTTTTCTCTTTCTTTTTTTGGGGGGTAGGATGGCAATGAACAGTAGATGGAAGGTTAACCACCACGACCACCTGCTCCATTGACAATTAGTCTTAAAAAGAAGATCCAAGCTGGATCAAATAAACCTGTTTCCTAAAGTAATTACTTCGGGAGAAAGAGGCAAGCAGAGAAGGGAAGCTGCAGGCCAGTTGCAAAAGACCTAAAGGCCACATCTGGAGAACTGGAAAGCCAGAGGACCTTCAGCCAAACATGTACACAAGATCTGTTATGATCAGTTGGAGATTACTGTGCATGAGTCCAAGAGATACTTACTGGTTTGGGGTTAACTTCAGTAGAGATGAGTTTTAAGAGGCAATTGAGGAGTTTCTGTTTATGAAAAGTGGCTGATGGAGGAGCAGATTTAGGTTCAGAGACCTGCTCCCCAGCATCCTGGGTTTCCTGCCCCAAGACAGTCAGCCAATCATACTCTAGCTGCAATTTGTTCGGCTTGCCCATCATGAGGTAGACTTCAGCCAAGGTAAGGCTTTCAGAGGTCCGCAGGCTCCATCCCTCTTCTCGGACTTGCTGAGCAAGGCGGCTGGGGTCATCCTTGAGAGACTTCGTGACCATCTGTCCCTGAGGTGGAGGCGGCGGCGGCGGCGGCAGTGAGGCGTTGAGCTTCTCTGGAGAGTCCTCCATTACTGCATCAGAGAGCTCCTTAACACACAGTTCTGCTTGATGTCCATAGCAGTGGAAGGCCTGAGTTTCAGATGTGGATGGACCACAACTGGGCAATTCCACCCTGCCACTCACCAGCTGTGTGGGACTGAGGTTGCCAGCCTCTGTGCTGCCAGGAAAAAGCCCACTGGGAGGGGAGCTTTCTGGCAAGGCAACATCTTTCTTGTCTGGCTTGTCTGCACAAAGACACTTCTCAGGGACAATCAGATCCTGGCAGGACTTCATGTAACGAGGGAACGGATCAAGCAGAGAGAGTTCCTCCAAATCCGGGGGGAGGCTGCCACAATTGCACTTTGTGCTGCTTGAGTCTACCTCAGTGGACAAGGCAATGACGGGAGCTGCCTCAATGCTCTCAGTCATGGGAACAGACTTCTCAAGGCTCCCACTTGGGTCCTGAAGCCCAGCAGGTGGTTTGCTGAGATTGTTGATGACACTGAGATCCAAAGATGCTCCTTCTGCAAGCCCAGCTTCTGGGGAGCAATCTTCAGTGCTCACAATGGGATCAAGGGTCAACTGAGGATTTCTACTCACTTCTGCAGTACTCTCAGGCTTGGTTCCACCTTTATTTTCTGCCCCCCGTGAGTATTTCACCTGCCCTCTGGCTGTTCCCTGACCACTCTGTATGCCCAAGATTTGGGCAGGGGGCAGCAAGTGGACATCCTTTGTACTCTGCTTGCACCGGCCAGATTCCTGCCAATGCACTGTGCAGAAAGCTTTGGAGTGTACTACTCGGGCAACCCCAGGCAGGGGTGTAAGCGTACAATTCTCTCCTGGGAAGAGGTGAAGCATCGTTTTCTCTTCTGAATAGCTGCTGCTTGCTTCAGCATCTCTGGAATCTTGCAGCTGCCTTTCAGCTAGTGTTTTCCTCTATGGGCAGGATGTTCAGGAAGACAGATGTGTTAAAAGGGGAAGCTATATCTGTAAATATTTTCCCATAAAGCCCAAACAAGCCAATGGCATCTTGTTGGATATTCTATGACTTCTAAATGAAGAGGAGGGCTACTGAATACTAATAAGCTCAAGAAAGCAAATGCAGAAAACCAGAAAAGAAACCCTAGTTCTAAATGGAAGAAAAGGCTTAATGAACATTAATAACATCAAGAATGCCAATGCTGGGAACAAGGAAAGTAACCAACTTCTGCATTAGGGAAAGGATACAACACGCACTTCATGGAGAGCCCATTTCTGTTTCAGGAACTCAATGAGGCTGGATACCTTCCGATGCAGCTCCACAATCATTCTGACAGGTCGTACAAGAAAGAGCAGAAAGGAAGAATCAGCAAATGACAGATACCATTAGCGTGGGACCGAAGTCACCAGATAAGCTAAGCAAAGCACGCATCAGCCGTCCCCCTTCCTACCTCCAACCCAACCTAGGATTGCATTACTCCAATTTTTACTTCACCAGCGAAAGAAGACACAGTAGCACTGGAATTCAGGATATGAGATCACTTAAACACCTATCTTTTGGCAGGAAAGAAAAAATCCTACATATCTTTTCCTCTTTTAACATTCTAAATTCTCTGCTCAAACTGAGTCACCCAGTTATTTGGCTTGACGTTGTGAATCCAATTTCAAAGATCCAGATTCACACCAATTCACCTGCCCACAGCCAGCCTTTAAGGTACCTGAGACGTGGGTTCTGGGCCAGACTCTGCACACGGGCCCATGCATGGTTATTCCGTGGCTGCAGTTCCACAGGGACCTTCAGTGGAAGACGCACAGGCTTCTGATCTTCCTCATCACTTATACCTATAAGACAAAGCAGAGGAGATGCTTGAAATCCATCCAGCCCTCCTCTACAGCCCAGGTACAGTTAAGCAAAATGCTCTGAGCAATCACACTTCAAGAGAACAATGTATCAGGGAACTGAACCTCTTTCTGATGTAGTGGAAGCAGACTGAATAGTGTCTTTCTGATCCTGCAGCATCGACATAAGGAGATCAATAAAAGTAACTGAAGTCTTAAGGCACTCCTATAGGATATATATCAATCATCAAGAACAGATATTGTGGGCTAAGAAAACAGTAATCCCTCTAGACTTCAGGTAGAGGTCAAATAGAAGGGTCAAGGTAACACAGCAGGGAACCCAAATTGCTATACTAATTGCAAGTTCATGCTCAGCCTGGGGTGAGGTTGAGGGAATGAAATTATGGGGCTGGAGGCTACAGCATAAGAGAAACATGCCCATATATGGTAACTTGAAAAGAGAGCTGGTAGAAGATAGGAATGAGATGAAACTATCATCCCTAACAAGCCCCACTGGAGGTAAGCAGGGGGCATTACCCACGGGACTGCTATATGATTTGAAGATTCAGGAGGAGGGGAGAAGCAAAGCAACATTTGTTCTACAATTACAAAACTAGACCATGGGCCCAGAATAGCTTGATAGGTACAAAATAATAATAGAAATAAAAAGAAGGTCATCCTAAAACCCTCCAGACAGCTTCCCAAGACTTATGAACAAATACATGCCCAGCTCACATTTCAAACATCTCTTTGGTACATGCTACTTCCCGTGTCATGCACTCAAGCCACCATCTCAGCATCTGCCTTTAACAGTGAGCGTTAGACTGCTGGTGACACGTGGATTTTTCCTCCCCACAAGCTGTAGTCAAACGGCTTTCCTGCCCAGAATTTCTGACGTACCATCTGGATCACAGAGCTTCTTCAGAGCCCTACACATGGGTGCCTTGATACGAAGGTTCCTGCCTTTGTAGCGAACCGTTGTAGCTCTAAGAAGAATATTAAAAAGGGGTGAGATGCTTGATGATGCCACCAGGGAAGTACAAAACCTGTGTGACTGGCAGAAATCCAGTTGTTCCTGCCTGTCCAATCCGGCCCGGCAGAATGGGCATGCTCTGGGTCCCATCAGCCATGGAATGTCAGCTGTCGGGGACCAGGAGACGTGCCTTTTCCGCTGCAGTGCCTGCCCTCTGGAACATCCTCCCTGCTGAGATTAGGATGGCCCCGACCCTTCTGGCTTTTCGGAAGGCCTTGAAGACCTGGCTTTATGCCCAGGCCCCTGAGTATGTGAAGGGCCCCATTTCATGGTTGTACTGACACCAATGGTTTTTAAAGATCTCTTGGCTGTATTTATATTTAATTTTCTGTATTGTTTTTTGAGTGTTTGTTTTTATTATTGTTAGCCGCCCAGAGTCACTGGTCTGAGATGGGCTGCTATATAAATTAATTAATTAAATAAATAAATAAATAAATAAATAAATAAAAGCCACTCCCTTTCAGTGGCATTTGTCTATCTAGGGTCCAAAGCAAGGGCAAGACCATTTTCTCATTGCAACTCCCAAGCAAGCATCCAGTCATTCTTGACAGTAACGTTCTTATAATTATGATTTAGATTAATTACAGTATAGCTACCCCACTCCAAAGGACTTTGGGCAGTTTACAACATCCAAAATACACTGGAATACTTCCATCAGGCACTTGACAGAGTACGAGAAAACAAACATCTGTTCTTAGAGCTTGCAATGTGAAAGAATGAGGTACCTCAGAAGACAGTAATTACATTTTCAAAAAATTACTCACCCAGCTTGGATAAGCTCATTGAGTTTAGCTGCATTTTTGTCATCCATACCTTTAAAGAACGTGAAAAAAATGAAATCACGGGCAGAGTATCAGAAACAAAACATGACAGGACAAAATAATTAGCAGCTTTAGGACCATCTTTATCACTACACAATTGTCATTCCTATGGGGATATCCTTTTAATTAAACATCAACAGAGCAAGATTCTTCAAGTTATTCTAGAAAAAGCTTTTTAGCCATCCAACCAATGCATTTAATTGCATGCAAAGCACCCCGAACCCGGAGCTCCTCAAATCACAAATCTATGATATCGGATTTTTTAAAAAGTATAAAATGCATCTCTCTCTGAACTCCTTGTATAAAGGTGTATATTGCAAAAAGAGCTATGATGATGAATGGAAAAGAGGGAGGAAAAGGAGGAATGTGCACAACTGAGAAAGCAAAAACCTGAAAGAGGAGGATGAAAATAGGATAAAAAGAATGTCAGTGTCTGCACTGAGGGTGGAAAAGTACCTGCCTGATTATATTAAAATTACAACCCCACTTGTAAATTAAAACCTGCACATTTCTATCACGGCAATTGGGATTCTCTGACATAAACAAAGAAGAGCTCCTGAATATCTTGTGACAGTGACAGTGAAAACTATTAAGCAGAGTTTGCCTTTAAGCAAAACAGTTTGCCTCCCGGAGTTGTGGGTGCTTCATCACTGGAGGTATCCAAGGAAAGGTTGGACAACCATTTGCCCAAGATGGTATGTGGACTCCTGCCTTGGGCAGAGGGCTGGACTAGAAGACCTTCAAGGTCCCTTCCAACCCTATGATTCTATGATCTTACTCTGAAACCCAGTTACCAGGGCAGCCGTTTTCACAAGCCTTGATGCTGCCCAGAAAGATGGGCATTCCAAATGGTGCATTTGCAGAAACTAACATTCACTTCATCATATTGAAAGAATCCAGACAAGTTCCACTCCTGGATCTTTACAATTACCTCTGGTTAATGATATCAGAGTCTAGAATAAGTTGCTGGGCAGGCACGCCTCCAAATTCTCTACAAGAAGGGTTATAGTCCACAGGCAGGAAAAGCATCCCCCACCTGTTCAGAGTTCTGTGTTTGCAGGGAGAGGAGAGTATGATTCTGAAGGACTAGCTAACTTCCCCTCAACCATGAAGCTAGTTACCATCTGTCAGCCTAACCTACTTCACAAAATTGTTGAGAGTAGAAGTGAATGTGAGAAAAGCTAATGTGACAGCCTAAACTTCTTGGAATAAAGGAAATAAAAGATATAGCATGGAGATACAAGCATCTACCAGGACTGGTCCAAGACGTGTTGCAAAATCAAACATGGTCACAGACCATTTCTTGAAACAACGTGGCAGTGTTCATTTTACATAAGACAAAGTTCCTCAAAGAAATCATTATCCAATAAGAAATTTAAAGGTACTACAACAAGGCTTCCCTAATTGGCCTAAGCTAGAAACATTCATTACTTCAAATGATTAAATAGGACCAGGTCAAATCAGCTAATTTTGACCAGAGTGTGCAATAAAACCAAATCTAATATAAATCATATGGTCAATTTAGACAAGATACAGTTTGATACTGAGAGGATTTAAAAAAAAAAAAAGGCTACTCAGAATGCATTTTATTTTTCATTCCTAATCTGTAGTCAGAGATTACCCCCGTTTTCAATTCTGCAGAAGTCATAGTGTGTAGTTCTTATCCTTCTGCTAGGCAGAGACAAGCAGATTTCTCACTGTATGTGAAATTACACCCACAAATAACAGATGCTTCCTTGCGTGTTTTCTGCTTCATTGTACTGCACTCTGCATGAAGGAGCAAACTACAGATTATGCTTGGAGATCTCTCCCACACAAAGCCAGAGAAATACATACAGCAGAGCTATGTGCGAAATAAAGGGGAAACTAGAAACATCTGGCAAGACTGTTTGGAAGCTGTTTTCCATGGTAGCAAAGAGAAAAGTCTCATACTTTCTAATTTCATGGCATCAAAAAAACTGTAATACTCACAGCCCCCAATCTTCTTTCTGAGCTCCCCATAACAAATTAAGCCATAAAGCTCAAGGGAGGATTTTTTCAGCCCTTGAGAAAACACTGCAAAAGAAAGAAAACCACAGGTGTTCAAGGAAAAGAATATACCACTCACATACATATGCAACTTGCACATGACTTGATTAAGCGAAGAGACTCAGCAGCCTCTTACTTAAGTATCTATGAGACAATGAGACAGATACTGACTTTATTTCAACATTATCTGATGCATTAGGAGGTCTCCCTGCAATTAATATATTATAGTCCAAAAAGGGGATACATTTTATAGTGGGTTTTAGGATGACACTGGCACCTGAGCCCACATTTACCTTTTGCAATATTCTGATTATCCAAGGTATAAAAAACCCTATGCTGCTGTGTAACTCTTCTATCCGGTTTTATTTGAGAAATCACCAGAATAAATGGAAACCTGTGTTTCCAAACGCTGATTCTCTCACCCAAAACTCATTCGCTCCCTCCAGTTCCACACTGATTGCAATTTATTTATCTAGTAGGTTTATCTCCCACTTTTCCTTCTGGAGCAAACAGAATACATAGTGCGCCCTCCTATTTTTCCAACCAACACCCTGTGAGGTAGCCATGGTAGACACAATAGGTGACACAAATCACTCAGGGAGCTTCTGTAGCAGAAGGTGGGCTAGGACCTTGGCCTCCCCACTCCTAAACTGAGAGAGGCTACGGGCCAGCACATCTGGTGGATGCCAAGCTGGGGGAATATAATGAGGTTTTACAAGAAACTCCATTTTAATTATCTTGCCCCTAAAGGGTTTAGACTTTTTGGTATGCGTTTCATTGCCATCTTTCTGACATTCTATTTATTGTAAAGCCTTTGGGCTTGTCGAAGAGGAAGGTGTAACATTGTTTTGTTTCATACAACATGTTCCTTAACCAGCCTTCACCCAAAGTTTAAAACATACATTAGCTAGGGACTGCATGTTTTGGGGCAGATTTATTCACCTCTTCCTCCCCAAACCCCAAAGCAGAGTCAAGTTAACGAAGTACGTGCTAAAGAGTATCCTTTGCTGCTCCTCCAATGATTTTGCAGATTTGCCCAACTGTCCCTGAAAGCATCACGTGGAGCAACCACCTGCCATATTGCCTGTGTTAATCTGATGTAATGAACCAATGCAAGAACTACTGTCACAAAGGTGTGCCTTCTTATAAACACATATTCTATCTTTCTTTTGACAGGCGTCCCAAGACTATATAACTGGGATTACAGATGACCTCTACTTCAATCGCTGATGTGATGGAGGCCTGCTTAGTCTGAACAACAAGAACATGCTCTGGGCAAATCCTAAATGCCCCCTTTCTACAAGCAGTTCATCCAAAGATAATCTACACTAGCCTAGTTGCATTGCTCAGAGAACTCAACCTTTCTGGGTGTGCTCACCATTATCAAAGTCAATGTATTTGGAAATCTTGTGCCAAGTGCGGTAATAGAAGTGCCGGACCTGCTCCTTGTTCTTCACCATGCTTGCAGGCTTGCTTTTCTTCTTGTACTTCAGGGCAATATTGTTTTGAATCGCTTCAAAGTCTTTGCCATGCTGAAAAAGGCAAATGTTACAAAATGAGAAAAAGAGGGGCAGCCGGAATAAGAGGATGAAGCACTTCTTCTAGAGCCGGGTCAGCCTCTCGTAGGTTTTTAGGAACAGGTGTTTCCACATCATATAACCAGACAGCTAGATATCTAAGTTAACAAGTGATTTTCCACAGAATAGTCAAAACGACATACAGATTTCTAGAATTTGACCTTTATTCCAGAATGACTATAGAAAATAGGTATTCTGTATGAAGGCCAGCATTCAGAACCCTACAAAATGCACAGGTACAAATCCACTCTCCTTAAAATAGGCAGGATTAGACAGACAAAATTCTGGCGAATTTCTTCATAATACAATTTCTGGGAACCCAGACAATGCAACAAAAACATGGGTGAAACATTGCCAGGGAATTACAATTCATCCAACAGATAATACTCTCAAAAAGCCGGGACAGCATGATGTATTTCAGATTGCTCAAATGAAGCGAACAGGACACAGAGTTTGCCTACTTCTCACAACAACCAAATATTTGACACATGTCTAAGTTTGCCTTAAATCTGGCTTATACATTTTTGGAACATGGTGCGGCACTTCCCATCCTTTTAGAAAATGTACCTCATAGAGGCCCTCAAAGAATGTATTCTTATCCTCCGTGCTCCAGGATTCCCACTGACGCCTAACTTTCTTGCCTTCTTCCTTTTCTCCAGTTGATGAGCTCAGGTTCCTTGCAGCTGATTTTGAATTGCCAGCTGGAGTGCTGGAAGGAATTCCTGAGGAGTTGCTAGATGAGGTCCCACCATTATCTGCACCTTTAGAGAAAGGGGGGGAAAAAAAAGGTCAGCCCAACCAACCCTGCAACCACTGTTTATATTAGATGACTTTTCACGAATTTTAAGGTGGCTGGAAAGCAGGATATCAGTCTTTTAAAAGAACTTTAGCCTAAAAATTTATTTATTTATCAGATTAATATCCCATCACAATCATAAAAGACTCCTGGCAGCTCACAACAGTAAGGAAGCACAGTAACTCACACAAAATCTCTTTTATGCCTTAAATGAATCACAACACAATATATGGTGTCAGGTCTGTAAACCCCTCTGGAAAAGCTGTTTTCAACTTCTTCCAGGAGGCCAATAAAGTTGGGGACAAACGAATTTCAATAAATTGTAAAATTGTACAGTGTAGATTTAAACATGGTGCAAAATGGTTATTCCATGTTTTTCAGCCTAGAAATAAAGCGCCCTGTTTTCCAAGCTCAGGACAAGACCATGCATGTGTGTGTGTGCTTTGTTCCACCTTGTCTCACGTGTTCTGTCGAAAGGAATTCACAAGCCTTTGCACTCTCATTTTTCATCTCAAAAATAAGAGGGATGATGATGATCACTGACAGCTGCCACTCAACCTACCAAAACATTTGCCAAACACTGGATTTGTACAGTAGAAAGCAAACCACAGAATACTACCTGATCTACGCATGTTTTGACCCATGTACAGAATGAAATAGGTCTCCTCTGTCCCACATATGGACAGAAGCACATTGTTTTGGGCAGAAGTGATTCAGGGGGATGGAAGCAAGAAAAACCAAGACTGAACAGTGTGGGTGAACGTTAATGACAGCAGTGACTTGGGAAGGCAAGTGGAAGGGAAGATGCTTGGAAGATTGGGGGTGGTTAGGCTGCTGGGATGTGCCACATCCTTATGACTGACACCACAGCCAAGCAGTTGTAGAGACCAGGACATCTGTAGTACATCTCCAAAAACTATTATGACAAAATTCAGGACAACCGACACACAGTTCACGAGAAGGGAAAACTAAGGTAAGCACAGGATGAAATGAAGATTAAAATCATTCTTAGGAGATGCCACACTTTTACCAACAAATCCATCTGAAAGAAGAAAACTTATTCAACCTATGCTTTGGCTACTATTATACATACTTCTTTATACCATTTCTGTTCAAACTGGACACCAGATTTTCCAATGCAGTAATTCACTGCCCCTGAGAAATGTTTCACTCTTCAGAAATGGAGGCCTGTTTCCTTTCTTTCTTTAAAAAAGTGCAGTTAAATCCACAGACTGGCTGCAGGCCTCACAACCCTGCTGTTCAGGAAAAATGGCAGGACTAAGAAGGTGAGGAGCCTAAGAGTAAAGCTCTTCAGTGTATTCTCTGACACAGTGATGTTCTAAGCCAAGGGGCAGGAGTTGTGTGCTTCCTTGAGTCGAGGGAATCCTGCTGGAAGCAAGCTGAGAAGCTGAGAACCCCAAGCGACACATGACATGACTAAGATGGAAGCTAAATATCTCCAGGAGGAGATTATACTCCATATTCATCCAAAATCATGTTAATTCTCATCTACTGAGGGTGTGAAATATGAAAAAAGAACAAAAAATAAAATTCAACGTCCAACTGGAGTTTGTTAACACTGCAGAAAACCCATTCATACTCCTGATCTAGGAATGTTTAAGAGAAATGTAGTTCAATGGTGCAATTAAACTCATTGGCTATCCCAGAATAGCTTCTCAAAATAGGACTCTACTACTGAATAAAATGTCTCTGAAATACTACAGGGCTTGTGGAACTAATCACATCATCCTACGGGTCTTGGTTATTCCTTCCACAGTGGAACTGTATAAACTGGCTATACTTGACACTTCCAGTAACACAGTTAAACACTGGAAAAAGTTAAATAATGTTTGTTGCCTTCCATCTCTGCAGCAATTCAGTAACAGAATACAAGCAACTGGTCTGACTGAAGTAAAGGAGACAACAGACAAAAAAAACGGAATGACTGATGTAAACCAATATATTCCAATGATATCTAGATCCCAAGGAATACATAAAGGTAGAGAAGAACTGTAACTGTTTAGAAATCTATGCAACTTTAGAGGTTTAGTTACAACTTTGGGTAAATAACTGTGCTATTAAACCAGGATGAAGTGTCGCCTGGGTTGGCCTGAAAGCATAATCAGCAATGTTCCAAGATACCACACCCGCAAAGATGAAATGATGGTGGACTGGCAACTGCTACTATCATTTTGATAGGGTGTGCCAATGCTACTTTACATAGCACAGGGTGGAGAAAGGAACTACATGGGGTGCCCAAAGACTGGAATCAACTTACTCCGGAAGGAACAACAAAAGATTTTGGCCGCCGTGGAGGCTGCAAGGTTAAGCCATGGTAATTAAAGAGTATCAGTGGCTTGTAATTAATTACGTAGAAGATCAAGACTCATCTGCTGCACTTATGGAAATGGCATTATCAGTCAGGCTTTGCCCAACAACACCAATCCAGCTGCTACTGAACAAGTCTACAGGAATGGGGTGTTGTAACTTGTTTGCTGCAAATTAACCAGCTTTTTTTTTTTTTAGTAGACTAATAGCAGTCCACTGACAGGCACATACATGCAATTTTTTAAAAACCCATCTTGGTGTGCTGAGCATCCTCAAGTATTCTGAAAAGTACTCTTAAGCTCTAATTTAAATAAGTTGTACTGTCACCATTTAAATCAATAAAACAGCTGAGAGACAGGCCACTAGGAAATAAAGTTAACTGAAATGGATTCTGACAAACCAGACTTGTTGCGCTAAAGGAATATCAAGGCCATTTTACAATTTTACATAGAAATTAACCACTACCCAAATGTGTGACTTCTCCATTTTGGGACCTCACAACCTGGATGAGTATGTCCACATGCAGGCTGAATATCACTCTGCTGTCCAGTACGGTTGCACCTATCTTGCCTCTTCCAGATCCACTGTTCCTGAAGCAAAAGTTTAAAGGAGCAGATTTGACTGATTCATGTTTGGGAATTAATCCTGCTTAACAAGGAAAATCAGGGGAGGGGAGGGAGAAAAGTTTAATTTTAGCAGCTAAACAGAAAGGCAGGAACTCAAAACCTCTGCATACTGACTGCAACTTCTGTAGAAAACAGAGAGCTAAAAGCTAGAAATAGTAAAGCAGCAAAAGCCAACCCACTTTTATTTTATGACTTTCACACAGGAAGGGCATTCGGCTGGTAGAAGCATTAGCTTCGGGACTCTCATTCCAAAATGGGAGGCAGACCAGCTAGAGTCGGAAGGAGGAGAGGAGTTTGGACTTTAGAGTTCTGTTCACAAAGGAGGCTGGGATTTGTGTATGGCTGAACACACGAGTGGCAAGAGGGATGCATTTCTCATCTGCCTCAGTTACAAGCACGGAGAACTCAGCCTCAAGCACAGAGCACTCGGCCTGGACACTCTACAACCTGTTCAGGATCAGGCATCAGTTTGGATGGAATCCTGGACGGAAGAACAACCCATCCACTTTATGAAAGAAATGGAGTAATTCAGCTCAGTGGAGAGAAGGTCTGAATACACGAGACTAGAAAACTTAGCAAGAACACCTTAAGCCTGAGCATACTTTCTAGGGAAGGTTGCCCTGTATAAGAAGGTTTGTCTGCGGTGAAATTTAAGACCTGTGTAGAAAACCCGCGCTATATTCTGGAGGATAAAGATCCAATCGCAGTCAAAGCAGACGAATGGCTGCCACAACACAGCCACAGGTGTCTTTAAATACATGCTAACATTTTTTTTTCCTAGGCTATCCCTAAGCTTCTAATAAGACCCTCTCTATGGCTCAAGCCACATGGTTCAACTTTTTCAGAGCAGCATATTGTGTTAGACACCCTCCACTGAACCCAAGCGAGAAATGGATGCATGTGATTACCTAGCTGAGTTCTAACGGGGTTCTAATAATTTCCACCTTCTAGTTAAAAGGAAGGCACTGTCAAGATCCAGGACCGTTTTAGTCTATAGATGTTAGCTAATGTTGATGACTATCGTAGACCCGCCATCATAAAATGAATATATACATCATTCTGTAGGTTTCTAAATCTTTTTCAGTTTTTAGGGGCTTATGAGCCTACAACAAAGCAGCTGAAAACAACTTCTGGGTAGGCATGCTCCGCGCAGCAATGTTTACCAGTGCTTAAGTCGCTTACTAGTGACAGCCTAATGCAGCGTTTCTCAACCTTAGCAATTCTAAGATGTGTGGACTTCAACTCCCAGAATTCCACAGCCGCATGCCAGTGTGATACTGGCAGGGAGACTCATCAAAGAATTAGGTCAAACCAGGTGACAACCCATTTACAACTATTATTACAGCTTTGGGGAGTCCACCACCAATGGATTGCAACAGCCTCTCTATGGAGATATACAAAGAAACTCTGAAGTCATTCAGAGTGTAGATGTGCTCACTAAGACATGACTTGTTCTCCATTAACCAACTGGTGCCCATCATGTTGATGTTATTGATGATTGCAAAAAATAAGCAAATTAGATATACTTCTCTGCCTTATGGTATGTATTACATTTGGCTTCTAGTGCTGAAAAATTTGCAGCCTCTGTACTGATGAGAAATTTTGAGATGCAGCGAAACTGCATTATATAAATTGTCTATTTAAACTATGAAACAGAATTGAATAAATTGATAGGTGAGATTTAGAATTCATGGCCCCAGGAAAACTAAGTTCCATTCTCTTTAAAGGCCAATCCAGCAATACTCCTAAATCATGACAAAGTAATTTAGCTAGTCTGATTTCTGATTGTGCCCCAAACGTTTTTGACAATTTGAGTTATTTACTTTCTAGGCTCTTTTGCAAAAATGCCTTTTGTAACATATAAAATTCACAGGCTCCATGATGTACAATGTACAATTTCGCCAGATTATCCTGTATTTATTCAGCACTAAGAAATTATAAACTGTGGGTAGTCTGTCACACAGAAATTTTGACAAGTTTGCTGTAAACAAATGCGGCATAATCTCAGTTG